CTTTCCTAAAAGTATTGCTTTCAAGAGGGCATGCTTGAAACAAGTGCTGAGAATTCAGGGGACACCCTAAACCTTCCTGACTCTCCTCTGACACTCTGACACAGTCCTCTGTGTGACTGTGGGCAGCTTCCTGACCTCGCTGGACCTCACTTCCCTCATCTGTCCTGTTTCCTGAACTCAGATTCAGACCCTGTCAGCTTTTCTGATCCCCAGCTATCTCATTTGTGGTGAAGAGCCCCCTGCTGTTAAGCGGGCCTGTCACCTCTTCTGGCCTCCATGGTCACTTTGAGGTGCACAGGTATCCATGCAGACAAAACGTCCAAACATATAAAACAGAAATAAGTAATATCGCCAGGCGGTGGTGGTGCACGCCTTTCATCCCAGCACTTGGGAGACAGAGGCAAGCGGATCTCTGTGAGTTCGAGGCCAGCCGGGTCTACAAGAGTTAGTTCCAGGACAGGCTCCAAAGCTACAGAGAAACCCTGTCTCAAAAAACACATACAAAAAAAAAAGGGGGGGGGGAGAAGAAATAAGTAAAATATCAAAACCCTTTTCTTATTAATATGAAAGGAGGACTGGTGAATGACTGGAGAGGCAAAGGCACTTTCGGAGCACAGCTGGAGGCCAGAGTCTGCCTCCTGTCACCCATGTAAAGTGAAGGAACTGACCCAATGTCCTTGGTCCTCTTCATGTGCTTCCACACACAATATAAATGAGCAATTTTTAAAAATAATAACATGAGGGCTGGAGAAATGGCTCAGTGGTTAAGAGCACTGCCTGCTCTTCCAAAGGTCCTGAGTTCAATTCCCGGCAACCACATGGTGGCCCACAACCATCTGTAATGAGATCTGATGCCCTCTTCTGGCCTGCAGGCATACATGCAGACAGAACATTGTATACATAATAAATAAATAAACAAACAAATATTTAAAAATAATAATAATAATAACATGAAAGGAAGATGATTATGATGAAAATACTAATATGCTTAGATTAAAAGCACCATGATAGGCTTGTTGTGTTTCTGTGGTTGTTTGGAATTTGGGTTTTTTGGGGGTTCTTTTTTGTTTGTTTGTTTTCAAGACAGGGTTTCTCTGCGGCTTTGGAGCCTGTCCTGGAACTAGCTCTGTAGACCAGGCTGGTCTCGAACTCACAGAGATCTGCCTGCCTCTGCCTCCCAAGTGCTGGGATTAAAGGCGTGCGCCACCACCGCCCAGCCTGGAATTTGTTTTTATTTTGTGTGTATGGGTGGTTAGCCTGAATGTATGTCTGTGTGTCATGTGTGTGTCTGTTGCTCCTGGAGATCAGGAGAGAGTGTGATGTCACCCAGAACTGGCATTCCAGGCAGGTGTGAACTGCCGCGTGGTATTGGGAGTTCAGTGGGGGTCCTCTGGAAGAGCTCTGTGCTCTTAACTGCCATCTCTCCTAGCTCCTCTTGGGTTTTGTTTGGGTTTGAAACAGGATCTCAGTATGTATCTCAGGCTGCCCCAAACTCATGATGCTGTGCCTGAGTTGTTTGAGTGCCAGGATGGCAGGCTGGTACCACCGTACCTGACTTTCTAAAAATGCTTTAAAGGTTTTTATTTATTGTGGTGGTAGGGCATGCATGTGCCACGCACACGTTGGAGGACACAATAGGGGCGCGAGTACGCCACAGCACACATCAGAGGACACAGTAGGGCATGCGAGTGCCACGGCACATATCAGAGGACACAGTAGGGCATGTATGTGCCACGGACCACATCAGAGGACACAGTAGGGCATGCGAGTGCCACGGCACACATCAGAGGACACAGTAGGGGCGTGAGTATGCCACGGCACACATCGGAGGACACAGTAGGGGCGTGAGTATGCCACGGCACACATCGGAGGACACAGTAGGGGCATGCGAGTGCCACGGCACACATCAGAGGACACAGTAGGGGCGTGAGTATGCCACGGCACACATCAGAGGACACAGTAGGGGCGTGAGTATGCCACGGCACACATCAGAGGACACAGTAGGGCGTGAGTATGCCACGGCACACATCAGAGGACACAGTAGGGGCGTGAGTATGCCACGGCACACATCAGAGGACACAGTAGGGCATGCATGTGCCACGGCACACATCGGAGGACACAGTAGGGCGCGAGTATGCCACGGCACACATCAGAGGACACAGTAGGGGCGTGAGTATACCACGGCACACATCTGAGGACACAGTAGGGCATGCATGTGCCACGGCACACATCGGAGGACACAGTAGGGCGCGAGTATGCCACGGCACACATCGGAGGACACAGTAGGGCATGCGTGTGCCACGGCACACATCGGAGGACACAGTAGGGGCGTGAGTATACCACGGCACACATCAGAGGACACAGTAGGGGCGTGAGTATGCCACGGCACACATCAGAGGACACAGTAGGGGCATGCATGTGCCACGGCATACATCGGAGGACACAGTAGGGGCGTGAGTATGCCACGGCACACATCAGAGGACACAGTAGGGGCGTGAGTATGCCACGGCACACATCAGAGGACAACCTGCAGGAATCAGTCCTCTCCTTCCACCATGTGGGTCCCAGGAACTAAACTCAGGGCCTCAGCATTAGTGGCCACCACCTTTACCCACTAAGCCTGCAGATCTCAACCTGTGGGTCGCAATCCCCTTGACAACACTCTGTCTCCCAAAATGTTTACATTATGATTCATAACAGTAGCAAAATTACAGTTATGAAACAGCAACAAAAATAGCTTTATGGTTGGTGGGGGTTACCACAACATGAGGAACTGTATTAAAGAGTCTAGGATCAGTAAGGTTGAGAACCATTGAGCTAGTCATCTTATTTTACCCTAAAAGTCTTTTTTTTTTTTTTTTTTTTTTTTTTTTTTTTTTTTTTTGCTTTTTCGAGACAGGGTTTCTCTGTGGCTTTGGAGCCTGTCCTGGAACTAGCTCTGTAGACCAGGCTGGTCTCGAACTCACAGAGATCCGCCTGCCTCTGCCTCCCGAGTGCTGGGATTAAAGGCGTGCGCCACCATCGCCCGGCTTCCTAAAAGTCTTTTTAAAAAATCTTTTTCAGGTTGGTTGTGGTGGTGCATGCCTTTAATCAGGCAGCAGAGGAGGATAGGTCTCTTGAGTTCGAGGCCAGCCTGGTCTACATGGTGAGGTAACGGCCAGGACTATGTGGAGAGATCCTGTCTCAAAAACCTAATAAAGATTTCTTTGTTTGGGCTGGTTAGTTTTGGGGTTTTTTTTCTGTTTCACTTATTTTTATTTTTTGTCAACTTGACAAAAGCTAGAGTCACCAGGGAAATAGAAACTTCAACTGAGAAAATGCCTCCATCATCTTGGCTGATAAGCAAGACTGTAGGGGCATTTTTTCATTAATGGCAGATCAGTCCGCTGTGAACAGAGCTATCCCTGGACAAGTTGTTGTGGGTTAGTTATATAAGAAAACAATCTGTGCTGGGTGGTGGTGGCTGCGGCGCACGCGTTTAATCCCAGCACTCGGGAGGCAGAGGCAGATGGATCGAGGCCAGCCTGGTCTACAGAGTGAGTTCCAGGACAACAAGGGCCACACAGAAAAACCCCGTTGAGGGGGAAGGGGTAGTTAGGGATAACTAGGACATTACTACTGCTGCTGTTGTTATTGAGACGGGGTCCCTCTAAGGATGTAAGATCCCCTGGAGCTGAGATTAGGGCAGTGTGAGCCACTGTTGTTGGTTCTGTGGTTGGAAGATTAACCACTGCTCTTAAGAGAGATGCCCGGAGCCGTCTCTCCAGTTCCTTCAATGTGTTATTTACTTCTACCGTATGACCCCACTTGCACCAGCCCTGTTTGAAGGGTTCACAGACCCCTAGCGGCTATTGGTTGCCATCGTGGGGTAGGGAGTAGGTCCAGAGGGAAACAGTGGACCATTGCCAGATAGTGCAGTTGTGAGGCCTGGAGGGGAACCAGAGTTCCTAGCCGGCTTCTGGGGGCCAGTTTGGGTTTTTCCTGCCTTCAGGATTGAGTCAACTAAATGGAATGACAGCATAAAGTGGCTGGGTCAACAGGTCCAGGATGGAGGAGTGTCTACTGTATGCTGGGCGCTGCTCCGTGTCCCCCCAGGGCATATCGCTCCACGGAGCTCAGAGCCCAGATTACCCCAGCACAAACCTGACGTCCCGGCATTCCGGAGGATGAGGCAGGAGGCTCTCCAATCAGGATACTAGCCCTGGTTACAAAATGAGACTTTGCTGAGCGAAGGGAGAGGAGGGAGGAGTGTCATACTGGACCGGATGAAAAAATGATGGTGGAGGGGCCGCGAGGGTAGGAAAACGCAGGGTTCTCTTATGTTATGGGGCAGGGTGGAGAAGACGGTGGCTGGCTTCCCGATTCGAGGTGGGGCATTTGACACGCATCAAGTCGAACTTAACGACTCATGGATCGAAATGGTCGCAACGGGCCATTTCAGTTCTCGGATGTAGAAACTGTCTTAGCTCGCAGCTCACGAGCCCACGGCGCTGCTAGGAAGGCTGTGCCGGCCGCAGCCGGCTCCTAAGGCATCCCACACTGTAACGGTCGCCCAGAGAGGCTGCGTGAGTTTCTGGGGTCACACCGCGCAGAGAGCGTCAGTCGGGGCCCCTCGGCGCCCGGAAGCGACCCTCCGTAAACAAAGCCGTGTGTAGGCGCAGCCCCAGCCTCCAGGCTCGTAGGCCGGCCCACGGGGGCGGGGGAGGAATGTTGTGAATGAATGTGGGGCCGCCCCGAAACTCCTCAAAAGGCCGAACCGTGGGGTCCCGTCGCTTTGATTGGTTCATTCCGCTCCGTGATGGACAGCGCCTCGCCCTGCGACCTTTCATTGGATGGCACCGGAAAGACGGACGTGGCCTATACCGAATGAACAGCGGCTCTTAGGAGGCGGGTCTGAAGAGACAACCAATGGTGAGGAAGAGGTAGGACGGCGGGGGCGGGGCTTCGGCTGAGGAGGCAGCGGCTGCAGAGACGGCTTCATTGTTGTGAAGAGTCTTAAAGGGGCCGCGTCTCCCGGCCGGCGCGGCCGGATGGAGCCCCCGGCGGCCAAGCGCAGCCGGGGCTGCCCCGCGGGGGACGAGCCTGGGACCGGGGCCCGTCGCGGCCGCCCCGAGCCGCTGCTGGACCTCAGCGCCAAGCGGGTGGCCGAGAGTTGGGCCTTCGAGCAGGTGAGGCCCCGGCCTGCCCCAGGCCTCGCACCTCGCCCCCTCCCCAGCGGCCAGCCCCACCCCCCGCGCCCCGCGCCTCTCCGCCCGCGGCCCACCCGGTCCCCATTCAGGCCGCTTCTCCTGAGAGGGACACCTGCCCAGAGACTCGCACTGCTCCATTCCTGCCTTCCGTGTCCCTGTTCCGCCCTCCAGGGAGACGACCCCAGTCTCTGCAGGGCCTACCCAAGACGCCCCTGTATCCCCGTGCTCCAGCCTCCAGACCCACCTGACCTCCCCAGATACCCCGACTGTGGGACAAGAGGCAGGGTCACTGAGGGAAGGGCTCTTTGCCCCTCCTTCCGCCCCTCCTCCCCCCTCCTTCCAGTCATTCAGGAGCCAAGATTGGGGTACCTGGGCCCGAACACCTGGAACCCCCTACTCTGTGACTTGTGGGTAGAACCCCGCAAACCCCCTCTCCCCTATCCTAGTGTCCCCCAAGGAGATGGGAGGGTATGGGCGACAGTCCCAAACTGGCGACTTCTAGTCTAACTTTGAGGGTGTTCTGTGTTCGGAAACTCTTCCTGAGTTAGGATGGTGGGTTTCGGCTGACTGGATGGAACGGGCTGATTCACGACCGGGAAATCCCTCCTTAGTCAGCAGCCCAGTCATTGACTCCCCCTTCTCCTGGAAACCTGGGTAGGGCCCTGTGTGACATGCTCAGAATAACCCTAAAACCATCGTCAGGGCGCCCACAGATCTGCTGTGGCTCCGCCAGGTGCTGAGAGAACTCTGCCGAGCTTTGGGAACCCTTTGGGGAGCTGCTGTCACATTGAGAAAACTGGGGCACAGAGAGGTTGAGAAACTTGTCCAAGGGAGCCCAGTCGGTGACTAGCCAGCTCAGATCGGAACACAGCCTCAAGCAGCTGGTTCTGTTCCTTGGAGCCCACGGGAGACACGTCAGGACAGCCCTTTCCTCCTAGGGGCTTTTCTCAGGGAAGAGGCAGGGGAAGAAACCCCAGGGTGGACCTGGTCTTGGGAGCTGGAGCTCCTTGGCTTAGAGATCCTGAAGAGATGAGTTTGCCTGGTCTACAGAGCGAGTCCAGGGCAGCTCCAAAGCTACACAGAGAAACTCCGAAGCTGTGACATTGACCCTGTGCTGTGGTTCAGCATCTTGTGTCCCTGTGAGGATAAGAAGCCATCTCTAAGGGTTGAACAGAGAGAATGCTAGGACTTCATGTCCTTGATTATTCTTACACTTGTATCTGACTTCTTCTTGTCCCCTCAATGCCCAAGCTATAGAAGGGCTTTAACCCCAGACCCCTGGGAAACTGGCTGTAAAAGCTTGTAGAATGCTAACTATGAGCCAGACACTATTGTAAGTAAATACTATTGTATTGAAAGCTGTTTTGTTGCTGGGAGTTTCACAGTGTTACCCAAGCTGGCCTTGAACTACTTGGCTCAAGTGCAGCCTCCTAAGTAGTGGGGATTTCAAGGGGCACTACCTTTTCAAGGACTCATTGGTATATACGTTTTATCTCCCCAGTCTCTGTAGCATGGTTGGTTTTCACATTCCTGTTTTACATGTGGGAAAACAGAGACTCAGAGAGATCAGGGGGGCCTTGTAAACAGCATGGCCAGGGTTCCAGCCCAGGGTCCTGACCCACCAGCTCTTCCCACAGGTGGAGGAGCGCTTTTCCCGGGTGCCAGAGCCAGTTCAGAAGCGCATTGTGTTCTGGTCTTTTCCACGAAGTGAACGGGAGATTTGTATGTACTCATCACTAGGCTACCAGCCCCCAGAAGGCGAGCAAGACACCCGGGTGCCATTTACCCGTGGGCTGCACCTGCTGCAGAGTGGGGCTGTGGATCGAGTGCTACAAGTGGGTGAGTGAGCATCTCTATCCTGGAGGAGGCAGAGGGGTCAGGGCGGGATGGAGGGGGGAGCTCCCAGTCCACCTGCTTCAAGGCCCAGATGTGCTTGAGTGAGACACTGTGGCATTCTTTGGGCACAGCACTGGGGAGGCAGAGGCTAGTGATGAAGAGGCACAGTAAAAGCCTAGTTTAATGGGGGGGGGGGGGTTCTATACTAAATACCTACTATATAAAGCTAGGTATATAGTAGATGTCAGAGATCTATCAAAACTTCGGGAGACTCAGGGAGAGGAAGGTGAACTAGAAAGTGGGGTAGAGAAGGAACGGGCATTGACAGGAGGACCCAGGTAAGGAAGAGGACAGGTGGAGTTGGTTTTGGATCTCAGAGGGGCCTGCTAGAGGGATTGAGACATGATGACAATTGTTGGAGAACTTGGGCTTCACACCAGCCTTGGAGACAGGATTATGCACTGGAGGGGAAAGGTGGACCTCAGACAGCTAAGCTGAGGAATAGAAGAGGTGGAAAAAGAAAGAAGAAGCAGGGTCCCAGGAAGGGCCAGTTCCTGACCTTAGACAGAGCATCTGTGTTGCATGGCACAAATGATGCTAAGGCTAGACATGGTGGTACACACTTGTAACCCCAGTGCTCAGAAGACTGGGACCAGAAGGTCTCAAGATCATGACCACCCTGGACAAAACAGTGAAACTTGCTTCAAAAACCAAAGTGGTCCCAGAGCGATAGCACATGCCTAAGGCAGAACTAGATAGATAGCTATGATTTCCAGTCCAGCTAAGGCTTCATAGTGAGACCCTGTCTCAATGCTAAACAGGATGATCATAGGCCTCAGTGGCCGGACCCAGGGAGAAACCAGTCACACAAATTCGGTGTCAGAGAGTTTGAGGTTGGGCAGCTGTGTCCTGGGAGAGATTGTGATCAAAGGTTTGCAGCCACGTGTGGAACAGTAGAGTGACTATAGTTGACAAAAATTTATTGTGTATTTTATAAAGAACTAAAAGGAAGAAGTTGGAAGCTTCCAAACACAGAGAAATAATCACTGTTGAAGGAGCAGGAAAAGCCAGTTGCTCTGATCTGAGCACCATGCATTGTATATCCTATTGAGTTACCACATCGTGTATCATGAATGTGCACAACTATTATGTGCTGATGGAGAAAATGACAAGGCTAAGGCCAGGAGAGTGGACTCAGACCTCAGGCAGTGGGCCCAAGTGGTTTTGAAGCAGACGGAAAGAAAATGAGCAGAGAAGGCTGGGTTTGGGGAAACAGGGAGGAAGGTGAGGGAAAAGGCCTTAGACCTAGCATCAAGCTTAGAAGAGGAGGAGTAGTGATTCGCTAAAAAATGAATAAGACTGTTCTTGACTTCCCATGGTAGCAGATCATGGCTCAGCCGTGGTGACCCTGCCTGGCAGCCTTGTACCCCTTTGCCTGGGCATAACCTAGCCACAGGCCCCATAGCTACCCCTGGTATGAGGAAGCCATGCCTTGCATGACGCAGGTTGCATCAGGCTGCCCAACCAGTCGGATGAGCCTGACAGACACTCAGGACTGCCCAGAACTTGCTCCATCATCCCATTGCCTTCAAGTGCCACAGGCCTTTGGCATCTTCTCAGGAAGTACAGAGCTTCTAAAGCTCAGTTGTAACTATAGCAGCCAAGGGCTTTCAACCTAAAGCATTTCAAACATTGTGTCTACACTGATAATACTATTTAGTGATCATTAGAATAAGGACAAAGGAACAGGGGAGAGGACTCATTTGGTTAAATGCCTGCTGCTCAAGCAAGAGGACCTAATTCAGGTGCTTAGCATCCATGTAAAAGCAAGGCACAGTGTTACATGCCTGTACCCCAGCACTAAGACAGAGACAAGAGGATCTCCATGTCTAGCCTAGCCTAGTCAAAGGGGCTAGCTTCATGTTCAAGGAGAACCTGTCTCGAAAATCAGGTGGAAACCCAGTATAGTTGTACACGCCTTTAGTCTTGGCACTCAGGAGGCAAGCACATCTCTGTGAGTTTGAGGCCAGTCTGGTCTATATAGCAGTTCTATAAGAAACAGAGCTACATAGACAAACCTTGTCTCAAAACAAACAAACAAAAAAAAAAAACAAAGATAAACAAGGCAAAGAACAATTGAGGCACCCCCTCCCCAAGAAAATAGAGATTTATTTGAGACTTAACTTTATGTCAAGTCATTCTAAATGCTTATCATAAGTAACTCATTCATTTATTAGAACCTCACAAGATCGTCGTCGCGGCATCTGGACAGATGATGAAATTGAGGCATGGGATGGGTTAGATGGTTTGCACTGGATTTTCTCAGCAGGGCTGTGCATCCAGGTCTTGGGGTGATCCGGTCTCCACAGTGTGTGTTTTTCTTAGGGTTCCACCTCAGTGGGAACATCCGAGAACTGGGGGCCCCAGGAGAGCCAGAGCATCTCTACCACGTCTCCATCAGCTTTGACCGCTGCAAGATCACATCTGTGAGCTGTGGCTGTGACAACCGAGACCTCTTCTACTGTGCACATGTGGTGGCCTTGTCACTGTACCGCATCCGCCATGCACACCAGGTGGAGCTGCGGCTGCCCATCTCTGAGACCCTCTCTCAGATGAACCGTGATCAGCTTCAGAAGTTCGTCCAGTATCTCATCAGTGCACACCACACTGAGGTGCTACCCACTGCCCAGCGCCTTGCTGATGAGATCCTTCTTCTGGGCTCTGAGATCAACCTGGTTCATGGTGAGTGGAGAGAAGGAGGGGCCGTGATGCAGAGGCCAGCAGAGTGGGTACCATCCATGTCCTGCTTTGGGGGATGTCACACACCTAGAGAGAGGCACATCTGGAGGGGTCTATAGGGCACCTGAAATAGGGCTTAGGCCAGTCAACTCAGGACTGGGAAGGCTGAGGTAGCTTGAAGCACAGTGACACCCTGAAGTCAAGCAGTGTGCAAAGGCAGGAGGGTTCAATCCTAGTATGAGGTGCCCCACAGAGGGTGGGGTATCTCAGAATTCCAGGGTAAAGGCTGAAAGGTGAGTGTCATGGCGAGGTATGGATGGATCTAGGAGGTGTTGGGGAGGATCTGCTGCTGGTTTGCTTGGCTGTAGTGGTGGGAAGATAGCGGGTAGATGTAGTAGGTGCTATAGTGGGTCATGGCGCCATGTGGGTTCCAGGAGGTTATGATTCATCACCAGGGGGAACTGATGTCATGGAAGGGCGTGGGGGATGAGCAGATGGGTAGCTGAGTGCAGTGGCAGGTGAGTGGGGTGACCATTGGAGCTAGAGTGGGGCCCTGTCTTAAAAAACAAAAAGAAACAAGACAGTAGTGGTGCACACCTTTAATCCCAACACTCAGGAGGCAGTGGCAGGTGGGTCTCTGTAAGTTCAATACCAGCCTGGTCTACAGAGCTAGTTCTAGGACAACCAAGGATACATGAGAAACCCTGTCTTGAAAACTCAAAAGAAGAAATAAGGGAAGGAAGGAAGAAAGACAGGTGCATACACCAGGGACTGATGGGTAGGTGTTTGGGAGGAACATGTGAGTTTGAGGGAAGCATATGCGTGAGCTGGAGTAGTTTGGTGGGTGGACAACGTGGCTGATTGACAGATGAATAGGGTGGGTATTTTGAGTGGTCAACCTAGGCTGTGGACATGGAGGAACTGGTGTGGAGGGGAAGAGATGCATAGAAACTGGCTAGTATGGATGGGCCGTGTTCCAGATGAGAGGATGGAGGAGTGGCTGGTGGTTTGTGAGGAGGAGTAAATGAGTGAATACAAACAGTTTCTACAGATGAATGGACTGAGTACCTAAATGAATGGAGGGGCTTGTAGTGTTTGGTACAGTTAGGTGAATGGACAGATGGATGAACCAATGGGCAGATTTATTTTTGGTTTTTCAAGACAGGGTTTCACTGTGTAACAGCCCTGGCTGTCATGGAACTCCCTTTGTAGATCAGGCTAGCCTCGAACTCACTGAGATCCATCTACCTCTGCCTCCCAAGTGCTGGTATTGAAGGCGGTCACCACCACCGCCTGGCTAAGATGTATTCATGAACAGTTATATGGATGGATGGGATGAGGGGCGAAGGCTGAATGAGTGAGTGTGAGGGAAGTGGCAAGTGGACTGGTGGTGAGTTAATAGGTGGATGGCCAGTGTGACCAGGCAGAAGCCCTGGTGGGGTTGCTTCTGGAGGCACAGAGTATTGATTTTGGAGGAATGGACGGGGGGAGGATTGACACCCTTTCTCTCACTCTACACTTGTTTTTTCACCCTAGGTGCTCCAGATCCCACGGCAGGTGCGGGCACAGAAGATGCCAACTGCTGGCATCTAGATGAGGAGCAGATCCAGGAGCAGGTGAAGCAGCTGCTGTCCAATGGTGGCCACTATGGGGCCAGCCAGCAGCTGCGCTCCATGTTCAGCAAGGTGCCAAGGCTGGGGGTGGACAGGGCAGAGGTCCTGTTGTGTCCTTCCCTTTCTTACCGCCTGCTGCTCTGCATAGGTGCGGGAGATGCTGCGGGCACGGGACTCTAATGGGGCACGCATGCTAATCCTCATGACTGAGCAGTTCCTGCAGGACCCTCGCCTGGCCCTGTGGCGGCAACAGGGTGCTGGCATGACAGACAAGTGCCGGCAGCTGTGGGATGAGCTGGGTAAGGCCTAGACCCTGGGGTGAAACCCACACCCCGGCTCCCACTCATATTAGCATCTGTACCCAAATCTTGCCTCCACTTAACACTACTAAGACTCCCAGCATTCTGGCCACCCTACTGGGTCCTGGAACTCCCAGAAAGAACAAGACACAAAATCTGGCTCTTGGCTCTTCTGGGAGTAGTATTACATGGTTATAGCTGGAGATATAACTCAGTTGTAGCAGGCTTGTTGAGCATGTATGAGATCATGAATTCCATCTTCAGTAAGTCTAGATAGATACATGCATGGATGGGTTGGTAGATGGGAGAATGCATCCATGCATGGGTGTTTATTGTACAGTTTTGTCCCTTGATGTCCTTGGAAGATTGGTCCCAAATCCTCTAAGACACAAACATCTGGAATGCTCAAGACCCTTATAAAACCATACAGTGTCTACAGAGAGTCTATGCATATCGTTTCTGTACAGTTTTGTTTTGTTTTTGATAAAGGGTCTCAATGTAACCCAGGCTAACCTCAAGCTCACAGTACTGCCAGGGATGACCCTGAGTTCTTAGTCTTTTTCTTCTCCACCTCCCAGGTGTTGGGGCTTTGTAGTCACCACTATAGCAGTGCCCTGTGTCAGATGTGGAAAGTGGGGAAGAAGCAACACTAAAATTCACGAGGCACCAAACCCGGGCTTGAGCCCCGACTTAAATGTGGTGTGACCCAGGGCGAGTGGAGTTTGTTTCCCATATTTCAGTTTCTCTCTCTTTCTCTTTTTAAAAGTTACATTTATTTATATTTGTGTGTATATGTGTGGGTATACCATAGTATACACATGGAAGTCAAAGGACAGCTTTGTGGGCTTAGTTTCCTCCTTCCATATGTGGATCCGAGGGACTGAACTCAGATCATTATTCTTGGTTACAAGCACTTTTCCTCTCTCATTGGCCATATTTTATTTTATTTCCTTACCATAATGTGAGGAGACACTGAGTTGCAGCCCATGTTCAGGTGGGACGTGTGCCTAGGCTGCAGCAGTTGCTTCTTAGCCTGTGTTCATGATGTTGACCTAGATGCTGAGCCTCTCTCTGCTCTTCAGGGGCTTTGTGGGTCTGCGTCATTCTGAGCCCCCACTGCAAACCAGATGAGCGCTCAGGCTGGCTGCAGCTGCTTGGCGCATGGGACAAGCTAGATGTGTGCCCACTGGAAGAGGGCAACTACTCCTTTGACATCCCCGGCCTACAGCCTACTTTGACCTCCAGGACAGGTAAGAGAAGGGCCCTACAACCTGTTTCTGACAAAATCATCACAACTCACTACAGCTCAACCTGTCACAGTTACCGTGTCCCAGGAGAGAGAGGGTAGGAGATACGGAAGGGGGCCCCACTGGTTGTCCTTCCAGCCAAAGGAGCAAGTGCTAAGGGCAAAAGTAATGATGTCTTTGAGGATGGTGACACAGCACTTGCTGGACCTCCAGTTAGCAAAAGTGAGACGACGGATAGGGAAGGACAGGAGCCCAACAGCAGGGGTGTGGGGAAGGGACAGTGATGGGGGTGTGGGCAAAACAAGTGAAGAGGGAGAAGAAGAAAAACAAAAGAGCGATTAGAAAGAAGCAAAGAGACTGAGGAGAGACGGAACAAGAATGGCTAGCAGGGAGGAAAGAGATGTCTGTAACCTGTGCCAGTGCTGTGACAGATGCCAGCCCCCACTTTCCCTTTGAGGATTTGCTTCAAGAATTCATATCCATCACCTGCCTAGGGTAGAACCCTGAGTTGGCACCTAGTAGGAGAAGCTGACTACAGTTTGTTCAACAGCACCACCATTACTACATTGGTATCCTCCTGTAGGCTCAGAGGATGAAGAGGAGGAGGTGACAGCCACCAGTCCCCGTCGTACAGTGTTCAGCCGAGCACTGCAGGCTGGGGAGTTGCACTGGAATGACAGCCACCTGCAGAGGATCCTGGCCAGTGATTCCTGTGGCCCAAGTCTCACTGGCAATATGGGAGGTGACAAACCAACCTTTGACCCTCAGGGCCACCCCATCTGGCTGGGTGAAACCTTCCCTACTGCCTGTGCACGGGTGGATACTTTGCGTGCCCATGGTTATCCCCACAAGGCTCTGCGGCTAGCATGTGCCATAGTCAACACTCTGCGGCTGCAGCGGCGACACCAGCTTGAGAACTACAAGCAGCAAAAAAAAGGTGAGTGAGGGTACAGGCTCTAGAACCCAGGTGCCCAAGACACAAGCTAGCCCATGAGAGATGGCAAAGAAGGTCTGGGTACCACCCCAGCTCCCACTCTCTGTATCATAGACAGAAAGGATTTTATCATAAAAAGTGCTGGTTGAAACTGAAGCACTGTGTGGTGGGAGAATTCTATGCGTCAGGTGCAGTTACATGGTAGAAGCCTTGCAGGACATTGGTAGTGAATGCCTTTAATCCCAGCACTCAGGGGGCAGAGGCAGGTGGATCTTTGTGAGTTCGAGGCCAGCTTGGTCTACAGAGTGAGTTCTAGGACAGCCAGGGCTACACAGAGAAACGCCATCTTGAAAAACAAAACAAAACAAAATTGCCTGCTCTTCCAAAGGTCCTGAGTTCAATTCACAGCAACCACATGGTGGCTCACAACCATTTGTAATGAGGTCTGGTGCCCTCTTCTGGCCTTCAGGCATACACGCAGGAAGAATATTGTATACATAGTAAATAAATAAATATTGAAAAAAGAAAAACAAAACAGCCGTGGTAGAAGCATCTTATTAATGCCTGAGGCCTTGGGTCTCAGTCCCAGCAACAAAAGAAAAGGGACAGAAAAGAGTAAGAATTAGGTCAAAGTGCTAATAGGTATGTGCAGCTCTTGAGCCAATTCCCAAGAAGACACCACAACTGGCCACCAGAACCTCCTCTTGCACATTGCCTTGGCCACCACTATTCACACGCAGGGCAGCTGCCACAGAGTAATGGTAGCGTTCCCATTGTTTATCCATTTTTCATGCAAGGGAGGCTGAGAAATGTAGACACTTCCAGACCTTGTAGTAAGCAGGTTTCCACAGCATGACCCTCAAGAATATGGTCGTAGGGTGGAAAGAGAGAAGCCTGGAGAATAGACTAGTTGATGTAGAATTTGCTCACTTTTAAACACGGGCAACAAATTGAGTTTCAAACAAACATTTGAAACATAACAAAAGGGCTATGGTGTGGCTCATTGGTGGAGTGCCTACCTAGCATGTATTTTATACCTTAGCACTTTACAAGTTAGGTATGGTGGCCCTTGCCTCTAACTCTAGCCCTCAGGAAGGGGAAATGAGAGTCGGAACTTCAAGGTCAGAGGTCAAGGCCCACCTAGACCATCTGAGAACCTGTCTCAAATACAATAAAATAAAAAAGCAGGGCAAAGAATTGGCTCAGTAGGTAGGGTGCTGGGTGATAGTGCTTCATGAAAATATAAAAGCTGGGCACGTCACTGTCTCCCAGGGCTGGGAGTTGAAGGCAGGCAGATCGTAGGGTCTTGTTGGCAGCCGTTTTAGTTGAGAAGGTGGGCTCTAGGACTGAAGGTTCATCAAAGAGCTCCTGTTACAAAAGATAGAGCAAGCTGGAAGAGAACCCAGAACTTTATCCTCAGTATATCTATGGGGCATGCACACACATGTGCACATGCATATACCACATGCACACAAGCACCCTGAACAAAAGGAAAGATGCTGTATCTAAATCTGGGGACAGAAGAAAGCCACTGTCTTGAGTTCTTGGCAGTGATGCTGACAAGTGTGTAAGGGAGAAATGGGCTTTGTAATGGAGGTGTCAGAGCTAATCTCCAGATGACTTAGGGAACAGCACAGGCTGAGTTCCAAGATCAGGGAGGTCAGTGGATGAGCGGCCTTACAGAGCATTCAGGTGTCTATCATAGAAGAATTTCATACTGCCCCTTGAGGGGTCTCCAAGGTGTTTGAGCTTGGCTGCAGAGATGGGGAGGGGGTAAGGCTAGGAGAAGAGAGTACTGCTTTGCATGTTTCAGGAAGAGGGGGTAACTCACAGACTGGCAGATAGCACAGAGGGTTGGTGTGGGGTGGGAGAAAAAGCCTCCAGAGTTGAGTGGGTGGCTGCATAGAGCCCACCTCTTCCCATACAGAACTGCTCCAAAAAGGTGCTACTTGCCTCACAAGCACTGAAGGTTGGGTGGGCCATCCCCTGGATCCCATTGGCTGCCTCTGCAGGGCACTGCTGGAGGCCTGTCGACTGGAGGAGGAGCCTCACTCTCTTTACCCAGGTACCCACCCGAGGACCCCTGCAGGAGGAACAATACCCACTCTGTTGGCCAGATATTGTCACATAGCAAGCTCAGCTTTGGCTGTGTGCCCTCCCAAGGCCAGGAGCCATTAGGCTTAGCTTTCTCAAAATGAGGCGGCCATGGCCGGAGCTAAGAGAGTTGGGACTCTCCCTAAACCTCTCTCCACGTCTGTCACCCAGCTTGGGGCTGAAGGGTGGGAGCATATCTAAACCTCAGCGACCTTGGATGCATCTCCCCTAGACTTGCCCACAGAGAAGCGGAAGCTGTCCTACCAGCATGTGCCAGTGCCAGGGAGCCCTGGGGAGTCCTACCTGGCTCTGGCACTGGAAGTGGCACTGCTGGGGCTAGGGCAGCAGCGGGCCCTTCCGGAGGGGTTGTATGCCCAGGACAAAGTGGTGCGCAATGAAGAGCAGCTGCTGGCCCTGCTGGAGGAGGTGGAGCTGGATGAGCGGCTGGTGCAAGTTCTGCGCAAGCAGGCTGGGCTGCTGTTGGAAGGTAAGTCCGGTCTCGGCCAACACTCATAGCCCTATAGGATTAGGTGTGAGGTCGTGCCTCATGGCCTTGGTCTGCTCCTCCACCATCTAAAGAATAAGCCTACTCTGCTGCTAACACCTGTCACCCCACCGCGTTGTAAAGCCCGCCCCATACTTTAGCCCCGCCCATGCTCTGACCCTATTGGTTCCTTGCTAAGTCCTCTCCCCTTATTGCTGCTGCTGGGGCTGGCGTGCCTCCTCATTCTGTAGCCTCATTCTTCACCACGCGGTGTTGCCTAGGGACCCCTCTTATGCCCCTCTAAATGTATGTGGAGTTCAGGGATAGTGGAGACTGAAGTCACCTTGTCCCTTTAGGAGGCCCTTTCAGTGGCTTCGGCGAAGTGATTTTCCGAGAGAGCGTACCCATGCACACCTGTGCCCGATACTTGTTCGCTGCGCTGCTGCCCCACGACCCAGATCTGGCCTTTCGCCTGGCACTCCGAGCCATGAGGTAAGGGCAGGAGGAGGGAGTGAGGAGCTATGAGCCCCATCTCCAAGCTGGGTCTCAGTCTGGTTAATGAGGTCCGCGGCCCATGCAGCAGAGTGTTTGTTAAATGGAAATGTGTAGTATGGTGAACTTGAGAACGATGCACAGCTACAGACCACACACGTGCTCAGAGTGCAGACCTTTTCTAGGAGGATTATGTCAGCCTATCTGAGGCTGGTTTCCTGCACTGGGGTCATGATGTAGCAGTACCCTGCTGACCTGGGTGTTCTAAGGTTGAGGTCAGTGCCCAGCATTGCACATGTATTTTTTCCTGCAGTTAATATTTCTGTTCATGTTTAAAATATACATAGGTTAGTGGCAACATTAAGTCATTCAACAAATGCTTGTGCCCTAACTGTGGACCAAATAGTGGTTGTAATTGCAGTACCAGCAAAACAGTCAGTGCATTCTGCCTTGTGCAGATGGTGCTCCAGGAGATGGGAGACGAGAGCATAAAGAGGGAGGACTTGGACAGAAAGCTGCAGTTTCATATGCAGGGTTTCAAGGGAACCTGGCAGAAAGATGCTCAAGACAGTGGAAGGGAGCTTAGGAAGGGCTGCGTAGGAGGGATGTTCCAGGCAGTGGAACCACTGTTGACTGTCTGTGGGCACACTGGCTCCCAGAGCATCTGCAGGAGTGATGTCATCACTTTCTCTTCTGTGATAGCTCATATAAAGGAAATGTACCTTCTGAGCTCCCAGTGTGGTGGGAGCCAGTGAGAGGAGGGAACGATACAGGGGTGTATACATACACATAGCTCCTTCCTGTCACAAACTGGTGGATTCCCAGGGCATCTAAACAATGTCTGGTCCTCTGATGGGGTTTGTTTTTGTTTTGAAGCAGAGTCATATAGCCTAGGCTGGCCTCAAACTCTCTATTTAAAAAAAAAAAATTTATTTATTTATTACGTATACAATAGTCTGTCTGTGTGTATGCCTGCAGGCCAGAAGAGGGCACCAGACCTCATTACAGATGGTTGTGAGCCACCATGTGGTTGCTGGGAATTGAACTCAGGACCTCTGAAAGAGCAGCCAGTGCTCTTAACCACTGAGCCATCTCTCCAGCCCTGTTTTTGTTTTTCAAGACAGGGTTTCTCTATGCAACCTTGACTGTCCTGGAACTCACTTTGTAGACCAAGCTGTCTTTGAATTCATAGAGATCTGCCTGCCTCTGCCTCTGCCTCTGCAGTGCTGGGACTATTGGTATACACCACCACACCCATCTTAAATGCATTTTCTTAGCAGCCAGGTGTGAATGATGACAGAGGTCTGTAATCCCAGCACACTGAGTCTGAGGTGAGATCTCAAATCTCACACCTGATTGGGCTACATAACAAGACTGGATCTCAGAACCTAGGTAGTTGATACATGGTGAGAGAGAAAGAGAAGGGATGGTAGTGGGGAGTGTGTGAATGATTAGAGTTAGATGGATGATAAAGACACACATGTATTCTGTCACCTATGACCCAACTTTTCCCAATCCCCCACCAGAAGCTCCAACATAATTTCTGTTCGTCCCTTCTAGAATATCATCTGTTATTTGTTTTTATTTTTTTCTTTCTTTCTTTCTCTTTCTCTGTCTTTGGGGGGGTAGGGGGTTTTCTGTGAACTTGCTTTGTAGACCAGGCTAGCCTTGAACTCCATAGAGATCTATGTGTCTCTGCCTCCTGAGTGCCGGATTAAAGGCATGCACCACCACCACCTGGCTAAGACTTTTTTAAAGTACTTTTTTTTAAAAAAAGTAATTTATTTATTTTTATTTTATGTATTGATGTCTTGCCTTCATGTAGTTTGTGTGAAGGTGTTGGATCCCCTGAAACTGGAGTTACAGATAGTTGTGGGTGCTGGGAATTGAACCTGGGTCCCCTGTAAGAGCAGCCAGTGCTCTCAACTGCTGAGCCATCTCTCCAGGCCCTGGCCTGAGACTTTGAAACTTCTTGCCTTAGCCTCTGGAGTGCTGCCAGGGCATGTGTGGGTCACCATGGCTGGCCTGTTTATCTGCCTTAGCTTCCGTTTGTGTCTGAAGTGGTGTGGTGTTCCTCCCTGCGCCTGACTTATTCCAGTGAATGTAATGCCATCCTGTTCCAGACTCAAGTGGTGGTGTTGCATTCTTTTTTAGGACTGAATAGTATTCCTTTGTAGGTAAGTGTTACATTTTCTGTAGCTGTTTATCGTGTTCATGTGTGTTGACTATCACACGTGGCCATTGTGAATTGTGGTAGCATCTTGTCTCTTTGACATACTATTTACTGTGGACATGTGCCCAGCAGTGAGATTGCTGGGTTATATGGTAGTTCTATTTTTAGTTTCCCCAGGAACTTCTGCTTTCTATGATGGTTATATTAATTCACATGGCAACTGTAGATAAAAAGCTTCTGGGGTTTTTTTTTGTTTTGTTTTGTTTTTAGAGCGGAGGACCAAATGCAGGACCTTGTGCTTACTAGGCAACTGTTCGAATACTGAGCTCAGACCCCAGCACTGCAACAAGTTCCCCTCTCTCCCCATCCTTGCCAGCATATATACATATATCTTCTCTGTATGATAGTAGCCATTAAAATCCTAGGCATTGCCGGGCGGTGGTGGCGCACGCCTTTAATCCCAGCACTCGGGAGGCAGAGGCAGGCGGATCTCTGGGAGTTCGAGGCCAGCCTGGTCTACAAGAGCTAGTTCCAGGACAGGCACCAAAGCTACAGAGAAACGCTGTCTCGAAAAACCAAAAAAATAAATAAATAAATAAAATCCTAGGCATTTTTTGCTACAGTGCTGGGCGTGGAGCCTAGAGTCTTTAGCAGACTCTACCAACTGAACCGTGGTCCACCTCCTCCAATGCCTCATTGAAGATTCTAGGCAGGGACAGATGAAGAAGTGGCAGCCCCAGCTCACCCTGTGTTTGCTTTTCCCCTGTCCCAGGCTGCCTGTACTCGAGACAACATTCCCAGCTGGAGAAGCTCACCCTAACCCACTGGACTCCATCATGAGCAACCGCTTCCCCCGTTGGTTCATCCTCGGCCACCTGGAGACCCGCCAGTGTGAACTGGCTTCCACCATGCTGACTGCTGCCAAGGGTGAGGACAGTGACAGCCGACCTTCTGGTGCCCTGGTGTTCCCCTGACCTCCTCTTGTTCTTGTTCCTCTTCCATTTCTTCACCTTTTGTCCTCCATTTCTTTGTTGTTTTTGTTTTTAATTTTCTTTCTTTATGTTTAGATTTCACTTATTTTTTATGTGTATGAATGCTTACCTGAATATATGTCTGTGCATCGTGTATGTGCTTTGCCCATGGAGGGCATCCGATCTCTTAGAACTGGATTATAGACAGTTGTGAGCTGCCATGTGGGTGCTAGGCATGGCTAGGAATCAAACGCTGGTCCTCTGCAAGTGCTCTTAACCTCTGAGCTGTCTCTCCAGCCCATTTTTCTTTTAAGATGTGGTCTCACGATGAATTCTAAGCTGGCCTGGCATGGGCTGTGTAGCTCACAGTGGCCTTGAATTATGATCTTCTACCCTTACTCTCATGTCCTACCATACCCGCTTTGTTTCTTTTACCAGACTTCCTTTTCCACTTCTGCTTGCACATTCCCTGTAAGGAACAAGCAGTGTCTTTGCTCAGTGCTCGGAGGTGGTAGCCAACAAAATTAAGTCCTATTCTCTGTGAAGATGTATAATAAACTGGCCAGGCCCTAGAGCACAGTTGTAGAGACCCTCCTTATCATGTATGAAGTCCTAAGCCTCCCCAGCACCACAAACAAACAAATGAGCCAGGGAAATGACAGTTCATTTGGTAAAACATTTATCACACAAGCATGAGGGAGCATCTAAGTTTAGTCCTCAGATCCCATATAAAGATGGGCCTAAGACTAGGTACACCTGCCTTTATTCCCTGTAGTTGGGAGGTAAATGCAGAGGCAGGTGTGGTTCAGTGCTTTTGAAGCCATCCTGGTCTACACAGTATGTTCCAGGCTGGCCAGAGCTACATAATAAGACCCTGTCTCTAAAGTAAAATAAAAAAGGCTAGGTGTGATGGCATACACTTGTCAATCCAGCACTGGGGAAGGGGAGACAGAGGATTCCCAGCATCTGCCATCTGGCCAGCCTTGATCTAATTGTGAGCTCCCTACCAGTGAAAAACCCTGTTTTAGCTGGGCGGTGGCAGTGCACACCTTAATCCCAGCACTCGGGGGCAGAGGCAGAATCTCTGTGAATTCGAGGCCAGCCTAGTCTACAAGAGCTAGTTCCAGGACAGGTTCCAAAACTACAGAGAAACCCTGTCTCAAAAAGAAAAGAAAAACCCTGTTTCAAAGAAATGTTGGGGGAAAAAGGCGGGAGAGGTGTCTCAGTGGTTAAGAGCACTGTCTGCTCCTGCAGACCACCAGAGTTCAATTCCCACCAACTATGCACTGACTCACACTATCTGTAACTCCAGTTCCAGGGCATCTAACACATTTTTCCGGCCTTTGCAGGCACCAGACAAATCACCCATACACAATAATAATAATAAATATTTTTTAAAAGGTGGACAGTGCCTGAGGAATGACACTCAAGCTTGAGATCTAGCCTCCACATAAATGCATATACGTGTGTTCACACTCACATGAACACACAAAACTGGCAAACAAGCCGGACGGTGGTGGCGCATGCCTTTAATCCAGCACTCGGGAGGCAGAGGCAGGCGGATCTCTGTGAGTTCGAAACCAGCCTGGTCTACAAAGCTAGTTCCAGGACAGGCTCCAAAACCACAGAGAAACCCTGTCTCGAAAAACCAAAAAAAAAAAAAAAAACAAAAAAAAACCTGGCAAACAATAAACAGAGATTATCATACACAAAGAAGGTTCTGGTGTCACATAGGACACTAAAGCAGGCAGCCTTGTTTTTTTCCTGTGGTACCTGAGGTGGGATCCAGGCCTTGTACAAACTAGGCCAAGCACTCTGCCACTGAACCACACTCCCACCTCAACCTGCTGGATGCTTAAACACAGATCCACATGAGACACAGGGCCCCACCCTTCTGACCTCATCTCACCCAGATGCCCATCCCAACAGGGCTTCTTGGCACAGGAATTTGAAGGAGAAAGGGCCACAGTTTAATCTCCATTGTCTTGGGTAGAGGGCTGTAACCAGAGCAGAAGCCCTAAGGCTGGGTTTCACCTGTTGTGTCTGAGGAACAAGAGAAGGACAGAGATTGGGAGTGAAGCTCAGTTGTAGAGCTCCTGCCTAGAATACCCCAGTGATGGGCTGGAAGTGTGACTCAGTGGTGGGTGCTGACCTCGCCTGTGCAATGCCCTGGGTTCCATACCGAACACTGCAGACTGGTATGACAAGGGCAGAGTGATGCGAGTGTGGAATCGAGGACAGTGGTGAGGATTCTGGTAAAGGCAGCACTGGGCTATGGAGATAGCTCCTGAGTAGAGTACATGGTTAGTACACACCAGGTTCGTCCCAAGCCTTTCAAAACAGAGAAAATAGCATCTTAGAGCTGCCTCTTCACAGAAGCATTGCCTGTTCCCTGCCATACACACGAGGTCCTGTGTGGAGGATTGTTTTGGCAGGTCATTCAGCTCCATTTATGCTGGTGTTCCAACTGTGGCCTCTATTACTCCTTCCACCCAGGAGACACCAAGTGGCTGCATGCAGTCCTGGGCTCCGTCCAGCAAAACATCCACTCTCCAGCCCTGCTCTTCAAGTTGGCACAGGACGCCTGCAAGACAGCCACACCAGCCAGCGCGCCACCAGACACCATGCTGCTGGGCATCGCACTGGAGCTTGGGCTGCAGGTACTCCAGCTAACGTCACCAGGAAATGAGTGGGAACCCTGCTCCTGGGGCAAAGGCTGACACAGGAGTCACACCTCTGAGGGTGGAGTTATAGATCAAACTTGAGTGACGGATATCACTCTAGGTTTGAGGCTCATCTCCGGGACTGGTTAAAGACGAAGAGGGCCCAGGTGGGCAGGGCAGGGCAGGGTCTGCAGGCCAGGGGATGGACCCAGGAGGGGACAGAAGAGGACCAGAGAGTGCTGCTAGAATGCTTGCCTAATGTCCTGGGTTTCAGCCTCAGCATCACATAAGCCAGGTGTGTTGGTGCATACCTGTAATTCTAGCATTCAGGAGGTATAGACAGGATCAGAAGTTCAGGGTCAACCCTGGCTATGTAGAGAGTTGGAGGCCTGGAGGTATTATTTGAGATTCTGTCTCAAATAAACCCATAAAAATCAAAACATGAACACAGACCAGGTGCTGGGGTGTGATTCCACAGGGCTATAGTGGGTTTTACTGTGTCCTGTATTCCATCCCCAGTATAAAAACATTTTAATCAGAAAAGAAAGAAATAGATCCTGAGGTTGCCTCTTGGTGCTTTTGGTTAAAATAAAAACCATGAGCCGGGCAGTGGTGGTGTGTGCCTTTAATCCCAGCATTCAGGGAGGCAGAGGATCTCTGAGTTCAAGGCCAGCCTGGTCTACAGAGTGAGTGCCAGGATAGCCAAAGACACACAGAGAAAGTATCGGAAGAAAGAGAGAGAGAGAGAGAGAGAGAGAGAGAGAGAGAGAGAGAGAGAAAGAAAGACCACGAGGCTAGAGAGATGTCTCAACAGTAAACTGCTCTTCCAAAAGACCCATGTCTGCTTCCCAAGACATGCATGGCTGTTTATAACAGTCTATAACTCCAGAATCAGAGATTGATGCCCTTTTCTGGCCTTTGCTGTCACTACACAGACATGGACAGACATGGACAGAACACCAATACACACTAAATAAATAAAACGAAGACCATGAATAGGACAGAGTCAGCCAATAAGGAACACCCTTGGGAGTGAGTGATGTATACAGAGTAATGTTAGCTGGGGGTTTGCAGCTTCAAAGAGGGACTTTCCTGGGGTTGAGCTCTGTCAGCCAGGCCTCTAGCTGAATATCACTGTCCTGCCATGGCAAGGACCAGGCCAGCCTGCGTGCAGCCCAGTGAGTAACCAGTAGAGGACATGGATATCTGGGCCTCAGGGTACCTAGAAACTGAAGGGCTAGACAGGTATGAGCCTGGTTATGGGGCCCCAGATAGTTGCAGAGACGGAGTATGTGAAAAACAGCTTCGTGTGGTGACACACACCTTCCATCCTAGATAGAACAGGAGGATCTGAGTTTGCAGACAGTCGGACCACAGACCCAACCTCAAAAACAATCAGACAAACCAAAGAACCTAAGAGTGGTTCTCAAGGTGGCTCAGTCAATAAAGTGCTTGTTTGGAAAATTAGGTCCCCAGAACCAAGAAAAAAAATGTAAAAAAGCTATAATCAGCTGGATATAGTAACACACACCTTTGAGCCCAGCACGTGGGAGGCAGAGGCAGGCAAATCTCTATAGTTCAAGGCTAGCCTGGTCTACAGAATGAGTTCCAGGACAGCTAGTGCTCTTATACAGAGAAACCGTGTATAGAAGGAAGGAGGGAGGGAGGGAGGGAGAGAGGGAAGGAGGGAGGGAGGGAAGGGAGGAGGGAGGGAGGGAGGGAGGGAGGAAGACCCTGTAATCCTGCACTGGGGAGGTAGGGACAAGCAGATCCACCAGTGCAGCCTAATAGGTGAGGCCAAGGTGGTGCTGGAGAGCCAGCTTGCCGGTTAAGAACTTCTATTCCACTGTGTGGTGGTGCATGCCTTTTATCCCAGCACTCGGGAGGCAGAGGCAGGCGGATCTCTATGAGTTCAAGAGCTAGCCTGGTCTACAAGAGCTAGTTCCAGGACAGGCTCTAAAACTACAGGGAAACTCTGTCTCAAAACAAACAAACAAAAAAAGAACTTCTCTTCCAAAGGACCCAAGTTCAGTTCTTATCACCTACGTCTAGCAGACACTACTACCTGTAACCCCAGCCTCTATGGGAGCCTGCACTGACATGCACATACACACAATTAGGAACAACTCGGGGGAGTTTTAAGACAGAGATTCTCTTAGAGCCCTGGCTGTCCTGAACTCACTCTGTAGACAAGGCTGACCTCAAACTCAGATCCACCTGCCTCCCCCTCCCATATGCTGGGATTAAAGGCGTGTGTCACCACCACTTAGCCAAAACCAAGAAATGTTAAAGACACTAACAAAGTGGACAGCTCCTGGGCGGCAGCACCCTGGTTGCTCTCCACCTTCATGTGCGTGCACTCTGTGGATGCGAGGCCTGCACACACATACAACCTAGGACAGCTTACACTGTAGGCCTTGTCCTTCCCGACCCTGATAGCTCTAGAGATTGGTGAGGGGAAGCTTACAGAGGCTGACCCAGAGCTGGGGCCTCGGCAGACAGATGGGTAAGAGGTTTCTTTAAGGTGGGACCCACAGAGGGCAGGTGCTTTGGAGCTGCAGGGAAAACGTCTTCTGACTTAAGGTATGGAACTTTCTAGAAAGAGGAGCTGGTTAGCTCCTTATAAGTAGGATTTTGAGTGAGGCCGTAAGGTCACAGCAGTGGTAGTCAGTATTACTGCAGAGAGCCTCAGCCATGTCGTCTTGGTTTATTTTCCCAGCACCACCATGCGGTGGATCCTTCTTAAAGATTTATTCTTATGTGCATATGTGTGCTTGTGTGTTAGTATGCACATTACATGCAGGCCAGAAAAGAGGGCATGCCTTGGAGCTGGAGTTGGGACATGGGTGCTGGGACCTGAACTCGAAGCAAGCATTTGAACCAGTGAGCCATCTCTCCGGCCCCTGATCTTTGTTTTACATGGATATTGGGGATCAAACTCAGGTTCTCATGCTGACATGGCAAGTACTAATTGTAACTGAGCCATCTTCCCAATTCTTTTCCCCCCTCCCTTTTGGTTTTTCAAGACAGAGTTTCTCTGTGTAGCCCTGGCTGTCCTGGAACTTGCTCTGTAGACCAGTCTGGTCTTGAACCCCAAACTGCCTGCCTCTGTTTCCTGAGTGCTAGGACTAAAGTGTGCTATCATGCCAGGTTCATTTTTTAAGAAAGATTTTATTTTTAATTATGTGTGAGTTATGTGTGCATACATGTGCACAGAGAGTTTCCTGTCTGTGGATATGTGCATATATGTGTTGGTGCCCTCAGAGGCATCAGATCCCCTGGAGCTGGGGGTAAAAGTGGTTGTAAGCCACCTGCTATGGGTTCTGGAAAACAAACTCCCGCGCTTTGCAAGAGCAGCAAGTGTTCTTTACCACTGAGCACCTCTCCCAGCCCTCCTAGTCTATATTTTTATCTCCATTTTTTAAATTTATCTTTATTTTATGTTCATTGGTGTTTTGCCTGCATGTATGTCTGTGTGAGGAAGCCAGATCCCCTGGAACTGGAGTTACAGACAGTTGTGAACCACCATGTGGTTGCTGGAAGGGTTCCAGGTCCTCTGGAAGAATAGTCAGTGCTCTTAACCACTGGGCGATCTGATCTCTCCTTTATCCCTCTTCTATAGAGCCAGAAACTGAGGCCAGAGAGATGAGGCCTCTCACCCAGGTCTGCTGCAGTAGCTCTGCCTCCAGCCTCCTTGGCCTAAGCCATCCGACACAGCAGGGCTCTGAGGACCCACCCTCCTCTTTCCCTGCAGGTGATGCGGATGACACTGAATACAATGACTTGGCGGCGCAGAGAGATGGTGCGCTGGCTAGTTAGCTGTGCCACAGAGATTGGTGAGTACCTGTAGGGGCCACTGAGGAACCAGACAGGCCCCAGAAAAACTGACCCTGACTGGAACACTGTGCAGCCCTTTAACCCAAGCAGATCTATGAATTCGAGGCTAGCCTGGGCTACATAGGGTGTTTGAGGACAGCTAAGGCTTTATTGTAAAACTCTGCCTCAAAGCAAATAAAACAAAACAAAAAGGCAGGTCCTTCCCCATTGCCAGCTCTAGGCCAGCCTGGGAGGGAGCATCACATGGGATAATGGAGGTACACAGTCTGGTGGTTGGCCAGACTGAAGTGGTTAGGAGTGGGGAGGAAGCTCCAGATGCTAGCCACTTCCATGGTTTTGGGAAATTTTTCTCTGCAGACATAGTGGTTCACCTGGAGCACTGAGGAGGTTGAATCAGGAGTCCCCATATTGTGGACAGCCTGGGTTCATAATGCGACCCCATCTCAAGACTCCATGGGTTAGAAGTGTGGCTCAGCAACAGGGTGATCACATGGCAGGGACAGAGTTCTTAGCTGCAGCTCCATGGCACCAGCAGAAAAGGGTTGCAGCTTATTTGATAGAGTGCAGGCCTTGCATGCACTAGGCCCTGTGTTCTCCGGACATGGCGGTGCATGTCTAATCCCAGCATGTGGAAGGCAGAGGCAGGAGGACCAGAAGTTGACCCTTAGCTACATAGCAAGTTTGAAGTAAGCCTGGACTGTAAGGACCTTGTTTTTAATTAATTAATTAATTTTATGTGTATGAGTGTTTTGCCTGTGTGTGTATCTGTGTGCCACATGTGTATCTGGTATCTTTGAAGGCCAGAGTATTCTTTGGCATCTCCAATGGTTGTGAACTATCATGTGGGTGCTAGGATCAAATCCAGATTCTGGAAGGGCAGCCAGTGCTCTTCAGTACTGAACATCTCTCCTGTCCCATGAGAACAGTTAGGTGTAATGGTCCATACCTATTAACCCAGCGCTTGGAGGCACTGGCAGGTGGATCTCTGGGTTTAAGGCCAATTGGGGCTGCATAGTGAGACCCCCCCACACACACAAAGTTTTAGCATGGTGAAGCTGGGAAGATTTAGAGCTGGTGGTTGAAGGGTGGAAAAGGAAATGGCAGAGTCTTACACACAGACATACACACATCCTGTGTCATTCCCTCTTCCCACGCCCAGGCCCACCAGCGCTGATGAGCATCATGAAGAATTGGTACTCCTTGTTCACCCCAGTGGAGGCAGTCACTATTGTGGCAGTGACAGGCACCACGCATGCCACTTTGTTGCGACTGCAGCTAGACACAGCCGGGCGAGAGGAGCTCTGGGCATGTGCCCGCACCTTGGCATTGCAGTGCTCCATGAAAGACCCCCAGAACTGCGCCTTGCCAGCCCTGACCCTGTGTGAAAAGAATCATGCAGCTTTCGAGGCCGCCTACCAGATTGTGCTGGATGCCGCAGCCAGTGGCCTCGGCCATGCCCATCTCTTCACTGTAGCACGATACATGGAGCATCGAGGCCTACCTTTGCGGGCCTACAAGCTGGCCACACTAGCCTTGGCACAACTCAGCATTGCCTTCAACCAAGACAGCCACCCTGCGGTCAACGATGTGCTGTGGGCCTGCTCGCTCAGCCACTCGTTGGGGCGGCACGAGTTGTCAGCCATTGTCCCTCTCATCATCCGCAGCATCCACTGCGCACCTATGCTCTCAGACATCCTGCGCCGCTGGACACTCTCAGCACCCGGTCTGGGCCCACTGGGGGCCCGCAGGGCTACCAAGCCACTAGGGACTGACAGGGCACCACTCTGCCAGCTCCTGGATGCTGCAGTAGCTGCCTACATCACCACCAGCCACTCACGCCTCACCCACATCAGCCCACGTCACTATGGTGACTTCATTGAGTTTCTGGGCAAAGCCCGAGAGACCTTCCTTCTGGCTCCAGATGGGCACCTCCAGTTTGCACAGTTCTTAGAGAGCCTTAAGCAGACCTACAAGGGGAAGAAGAAGCTAATGCTGTTGGTTCGGGAGCGGTTTGGCTGAGGGGCTGCAGCTAGCATGGCTACTTCAGGATCAAGTGTTGGAATGTGGGAGGCAGGTGGTGACACCATTCCAAGTGTGTGCCTACGAGTGTGCAGACCAATGGGAGATCTGAGGGTCTGAAGCCATACTGCTAACTAGAGGCCTGCAGGGGTATGCCTGGGCACCCCACAGTCAAGAGGCAAGCTCTGGCTCTCCCAAACTCACATGGTTAGCCGGAGCTACCAGGAGAAGGGCTGGAGGTAGAACTTTCCAGAAATTAGTTCTTAAATTCAGTATAGCAGATCCTCCAGAGCCCACCCAGGTGCCTGGGGACGTCACATCAGGTATTAAATCCCGTGTTTCATCCCCTCTCCTACAGCTCAGGGGTCCTGTCCACTGCCCTGCGCTTCCAGCCCAAGCCGCCAGCACAAGTCAATGCCTCATCCCCACTGAAGGAATCAAGAGGCTTTGGGCCTCTGCCACATACCTCACCCCCAAACACCCTGTCCAGCCAGGACCTGTCTTGTCTTGGGCACCAAGGTCACAGGGTAGGCTGGGGATAGCTCTCTGCTGCCCAGACCCCACCACTAGTAACTGGATACACAACTCAGGAACCAGGCTGCCCTCCAACCTGTGTGGGAGGCATAGACAGACAGCCAGGGATCCCACCCTGTCTTCCTTTAGCTCTACGTGGCCGTCTCTGTTTCCTCACTTCCTTTAGTTTAGCCATTTCTGCATCTCTCTCCCTCTTGAGTCCCGGCTGCTGATAGGGGCATCCCTTTACCCCAGGCCTTAGCCTAAGGAAGGGATCGCCTCCACCCCAAATGAACCAGTCTTCTTTCTTGTATATTAAGGAAAAAGTTGGCATCGTTTTGTAACTTTTTTTCCTATTTATTGAATCCTGTACTGTACTCCTTTCCTTTTTTTAAAAAAAAAATTTGAGCACAACTTCTTTTTAACTTTGAGATTGAGTTACATTGCCCCACACATACCCAGGGCCAGGGCTGTTCCATTAACAAAAAAAAAAAAATCCATTTTGGCTTTTGGGCACAGCTTCAAGAGTGGGACAGGAGGGCTGCTGGCTTTCTCCAGTAGCATGTGTTGACACAAAGAGCAATCTCTCCCTGGCAGCAAGTCACAACCTCTGAGTCAGACGCTCACAATGCCTCTAGCAAAGTGCAGCCAGTTTGGCGGCCCGGACGCCGCAAGAAATGACCACCAGGGGGCGCCTGGCTCCAGATAACGAGCTCGGGAGGTCGCGTCAGGTACTGAGTGCTGCTGGGGACGCCTGGAGCTGACGGGCGGGCTACTCCTGGGCCCGCAGCGGGGTGCCCATTGAGCGACTGAGCCTCCCAGGTCTCAGATGGGGTCATCCCGGGGACGTTGTCTTGGTTTTCTTCTCATTCTTGGGTATTTGTATTCTTTAGCCACTGACAAACTCGCTCATAGTCGAGGATACTTAGGGGGTGGCGCGCTGGCCGCTATGGGGCGCTGTTGCAGCAGCGCGCGAGGTCGGACACTACTGGAGCTGACTCTGTCTAGGCTCCTGGTGCGCCTTTGCTCAAGAGCCAGTCGGAGTCAACCCCACCTAGCAGGTCCCTCAGTATTCAAGGTGCCTGAATCGCTGGCACCGTGCTGAGCAGTGCGTCCTGGCGTGTGCAGATAACCTTCTTGAACACTGCTTCAGCATTTGCAATCGCACAATACTCCCTCACGGAACTGGAGTGTAGCACATGTTTGCCAGCCACTAATGTTGCCCTGCTACACCTAATGACTTCATATCACAACTCAAACCAAAGTTCCTTTTCACATTCATTCTCTCATACACCCCAGGCCTGAATTATCCCTCCAGTTCAAGCCGTCCCCAAATGTCACCTGCCCAGGATCTTCAATCTTCAGGTCCCACACAGCACCCTCTGACCACAGAAATAAACTTACACCTTCCTGGGAGCAGGTGGAACAGGGTTGGGGACAGATGAGGTCAGGAGCCAGGGTGGGGCATAGACGTGGGGCACCTAGGGACATAGGGGTGCACCTAGGATCCCCAAACTCGAGACACTGAGGAAGGACTGACTCAGGTCAGCCTGGTCTACACACAAAGACGCTGTCTCAGAATAGGAGGGGGAAAAAGCCAGCAGTCCATTGTGGGAGGCAGGAATAAAGAGACATCAGACCTTAAAGAATGAAGCGGGGCAGTTTTTATTTAATAGAAAACAGGCACAACATCAAATGCAAGCTTCACCTCTGTTCTTCCACCTAAGCTTCCATTCACCTCACCCCCCCCCCCCCCACTGACTGGTGATCTGGGAAGTAACCCAGCCCCGTGCCAACAGCAAGCCGCAATACCCAGGGGAGAGGGAAGTCTGTCCATGTCCTTGGAGAGCCGTGTGGACCTTGCTCCCTGCATCACTGTCACCAGTGGAATGCTGCAGGCTTCATGGGGTGCTGGGCACGCTGGATAGGGCCAGTGCCTTGTTGCGGAAGTTGAGAGTTGGCATTTAACAGTCAGCAGGCCCAAAGCAGCTTCCTCTTGGGTAACTGACTACAGAGAAGGTGTGCAAAGAAAGGGTGGTGCTTGGGCCCCACTGGGTTTGGGAGAGGAAGGGGCTGGAGGCCCTGAGGGGACACAACTGACTTGCCACGCACTCATCCACCTGTTCTTTCTGGGAACTACAAAAATCTCAAGGTGTGGCCATATGGGGTGGGCTACCCAGATGCAGGCTTAGAGGAAGGGCCTGCAGCAGAGAGCTGGGCCCAGGCACAGCTGGTCACCCCCACTCCATCCAGGTCTCGGGTCATGGCAGACATTCTGTAGGGTGCCAGCTCCTAGGGGGCTGGACTCCTGTTCCTGCTGAACTGAGCCAGTGCATTGGAACCAACTGTTTCAGCTCAGTAGGCACAGGAGGCAGAGCCCAGGGAGGAGGAGGCAGAGCAGGGTGGGCAGTAGCGTCTGAGGAGATGGGGCCCAGCGGGGCGGAACTTAGCCACTGTGAACACGACTTGCTGTGGACCTTGCTCACAAGCAGCTAAGCCCTGCTCCTCAGGCCAGTTGTCATGCTGGGCTCCTCCATCACCCGGTACCCAGGACAGGCATCCTTAGCAACAGGAGTCCCCAAGGCAGAGCACAGGGTCAGTTGGAAATCCCTGGCAATGTGATTTGTGACTGGCATCAAATCCCATCCCCAGGAACCCCAGCCGGCCGAGGCACATGAGGGGACAGCAGGTGAGATCGGAGTGGAGCAACCTAAGGGGAGAAAGAAGAGAGAGAATGAGACTGGGAACATTCCCACCTGCCGGCCTGTCTTTTGTTATCCACTTCACTACTGAGGCAGCTTCTGGGCTGGTGATTCTCCTGTCTCTACCTCTGGAGTCTAGGATTCCAGGCTCACCTCACCACACCTAGTTTACATGGTGCTAGGGATAGAACCTAAGCTCTGCCTGCTGAACTACACCCCAGTCCTCCATCTGCTTCCAGGAGAGAAGGAGCCTCCCCATAGGAGTGTCAGTAGGGAGAATGGAGTGAGTCCACAGGATGCTGGGTGCACAGGAGAGCCTCCAGCCCCAGCCCTACAAGTCGAAGGCGCCCAGAAAGCCTAACAGGTCAAAGAGGATGCAAAGCCTTCTTGGCTTGTTTCCACCGTTTCTTTCTCTCCCCACTCACAGCCCTGAGCCCAAAGCAGGCCATATGGGGCCATGGAGAGAGGAAGCTGAGGGAGGTGGGCGGTTGAGGGGAGGAAGTGACCTCACCCCAGCTGGCGCCACTTCCTAGAAGCCTGAAGGGCAGAGGGAACTCCAGCACCTCCTGCCTGTGCCTCCCCAGGCAGCTCAGTCACACCCCACCCCAGCACCCAAGCTGGGAGAAGCAGGCCTCTCCATCCCAATACCTCAACAGAGTTTAACTCCCTGCTCCTGGAGTTTCCCAGAGGCCTTCCAAGCCTCAGTTTCCCCATCTGTAAAGTAGACCAAGAACACTTGCAGTTGGTGGCTCAAGTTCATCTCTGCATTGAGGAGACTGAGGAAGGAAGGTTGCCAAGAACCAAAGGCCTACTTAAAGAACAAAACAAAACACACACATACACAAAAGCAAGACCCTCTACCAGGTAGGCCAGGGTACATTTACTAAGAAGAAGCTATTTGGCACTCAGCACCAGGGCAAGCCTCAGAATCTAGGAGCTACCCAATGTAGACTAGCTTCCTGAATGGCAATTAAAATCTTCAGGAGCCAGAAAGATGGTCCAGCAAGTAAACACACTCGCCATCAGTGCAGAGCTCAGACCCGAGAACCACACAGTAGAAAAACACCCCTGCAAGTCATCCTCTGACCTCTACACTTGTGGCCACACACATGTAAGTACATACGTACATACATAAACATTTTTAAAAGGTTTTGAGCCGGGCGATGGTGGCGCATGCCTTTAATCCCAGCACTCGGGAGGCAGAGGCAGGCAGATTTCTGTGAGTTCAAGACCAGCCTGGTCTACAGAGCTAGTTCCAGGACAGGCTCCAAAGCCACAGAGAAACCCTGTCTCGAAAAACCAAAAAAAAAAAAAAAAAAAAGGTTTTGAATTCAGAGTTAGAGAGATGGTTCAGGAGTTGAGAGCAGTTGCTATTCTAGCAGAGGACCTATGTTGCCTTCCCAGAACCCACAAGATAATCACAGCTATCCATAACTCCAGTTCCAAGACCTCTGATGTTCTCTTCTGTCCTCTATGGGTACCAGGCACACATACAGTACACATACATACATGTAGGCAAGCACTCATACAATAAAAATAAACTGTCAGGAATGGTGGTGCACACCGTTAGTCCCAGCACTTGAAAGGCAAAGGCCATCGGATCTCTGTGAATCCAAGGCCAGGCTGGACTATGTAGGGAGTTTCAGATCAGCCAGAGCTGCACGGTGAGACCGTGTCTCGGATAAAGCATGGAGAGCTGACTCAGTGGTTAAGAGCAGGTACTGCTCTTGCAGAGGTCCTAAGTTTGATTCCCAGCACCCACATCAGGCAGCTCACAACTGCTTGTAACTCCAGCTTCAGGGGACTTCGCTCCCCTTTCTAGTCTCTGAGGGCACTGCACCAGCATGCAGAAACCCACACACAGACCAGACAACACACACACACACAATCGTGAAAAGATTTCAGGGTCTGAGGTGATCGCTCAGTCAATAAAGTGGTTGACATGCAAGCACAAGGCCCTGCATGATCCCAGGCACGAAAGCTCACACTAGTAACCCCAGTGCTGGGGGCCCCTAGGGCTCACAACCGCTATTCCACAGCTACCTGTCCCAGTCCGGTCCCAGAGATACCGTCTGAGAAACCACAGTAAGGAGCTGGGAGATGGCGAGCGGTTAATAGTGCCTGTTGCCACGCACCCCCTCACCCCCACATACACACAGGGTTTCTCTGTGTAGCCCTGGCTGGCCTCAAACTCACAGAGATCCCCCTGCCCCTGTCTCCCAAGTGCTGGGATTACAGGCGTGTGCCACCACCATGCCTAGCAGCACTTGCTCTTAAAAGACCCAGTTCCTAGCATCCACACGTAGCCTCACAACCATGTGTAACTCCAGCTCCAGGAGAGCCAGTGTCTTTGACCTAGGACACCAGACACACACATTCTAGAGAAACTGCACTTGAGGAGGTTCTCCATATACACAGACGTACACACTCTCTCTCTCCTCATGGGGAGGAGGGTAAGATTTCCAGACAGCCCATGCCACACCAGGACCAGGTCTTATAAAAGCCTTACAACCGCGCACACTGATTGCAGCACTCGGGAGGCAGAAGCAGATCTCCGTGAGTTTGAGGCCAGCCTGGTCTACATAGTGTGACCCCCTCAAAAGGATAAAGAAAAAGGAGGGGGGGTGGCTTTTGGCTATGTGAACTCAGTTCTGGAGATTGTCTGCCTGCAAGTGAGCTGTTGACATGGTCAAAGAACACAGTTTCTCTGGGACAAATCTCTTCATCTGCAAAATAGCAATAATAAATTATCTCAGACCTTGGAATGATGGCATGGAATTGTAATTGCTGAATCCAGGAGGGATGGAGGGGGATTTCAACCTAGAGACCAGCCTGGGCTATCAAATGCGACCCTGTTTCAAAAAATAAAAAAATGGAGCTAAAGAAATGGCTCAGTGGTTAAAAACACTGGCTACTCTTCCAGGGGTTCCAAGTTCGATTCCCAGCACCCACGTCCCACGTAGTGTCTGACAACTGTCTGCACTCCGGGTCTTGGGAGTTTGACCCCTTCTTCTGGACTGTGCAGGTACCAGATATGCATGCAGACAAAACACTGAGTCAGAGATTCTCTATATAACAGCCCTGGTGGTCCTGGGACTGGCTCCATTGACCAGACTAGCCTTGAACTCACAGAGATCCACCTGCCTCTGCCTCCCAAGTGCTGGGATTAAAGGTGTGCGCCACACCGCCCAGCTAAATTATTTCAAATTAGGGGGGAAAAAGCAACTGAGAGTGAGGCCCAGCGGCACCGGGGTGAGGCCCAGCAGCCCCTTGCTGGCCAGGCACACCAGGCCTGGCTCCATCCTCAGTGGCCCCTTGCTAGCCCGCCACACCAGGCCTGGCTCCATCCCCAGGACCGTATCATGATGTGTGATGGTACAAGCATGTTATCTCAGCATTCAGGAGGTGGAGACATCAGAAATTCAAAGTCATTCTTGGCTACAGGGCAAGCTGAAGACCAGCCTGGGATATATGGAACTCTCAGAACGAAATCTTAGGGCTGGGAGGATGGCTCAGGGGTTTAGACTGCATAGTGCTGAGAACCCAGCTCCAGCGGACTGGCCCCCTCTTCTGGCCTCTGTTAGCGCCTACACATACATGCACATACCCAACACATACCCAAAAATAAAAGTAAAATGAATCTTAAAAAAGAAAATCTCTACTTCGTACACAACTGGGAGAGTGCTTGGTGATATGGGACATCAAAACAGAAGGATTCTGTCATATCATCAATGACAGACAAGACAATCTAGCTCCTAATGGCTATATCTAGCATTACCTCTCTTTGAGGAATAGGGGTTGAGAGATGTCCTGCTGTGTCTCCCTGAACACACACACACACACACACACACACACACACACACACGCACGCACGCACATGCTGGCTACCCTCCTTCCCACCACACCCCAGTCCAGCTCTGTCCCTTTGGGGTCTGGGGGCAGCCCAGGGCCTCAGGCTGGCCAGCCTCCCCAGTCACCTCCGGAAGTGAGACAGCATATTCGTCCCTGGGACTAGAACGGGAAGGGCGGCCATTTGGCCAGGCTGGTTTCCTGTGGGGTTTCCCCTACAAAGAGGCCAAGGCTGCGGCCAAGGCCACTCCCATTCTCACACATCAGAGGTCTGTGTCTGGCGTGGAGGGGCATTACCACGCAGGTGTCCAGGAGTTGGGACATCCTGTACCAAAAACTGTGCCTCTCTGTCTCATAGGAGGCGGGACCCAAAGGGACAGACAGAGGTCCTGGCGCTGGAGGACTTGGGGAACAGGGCAGGTCTTGGACAGTGGCACCCCAGTCGGTCTGTTCCCATAACCTACAGGCCCCCGGCATCTCTGGAGGACCCATTGTGGACCCCAAGAAGGAACCAGGGCAGAGGCCCTGCGGCCGTCCCAAAGCTTGATCCTCAAATACTTTCCACCCTCGCTGAGCAGAGCGAGGATCGGAAAATACCGAGGGCTGCTGGCCCCGCCCCGCCCCGCCCCCGCCCCGGTCACCAGCGCTCGCTAATGGCCCAGACTCTTCCCAGGAGCTTGGCGGCTGGGCCGGGGCCAACCCGACCTGCGGCGCAGATGCCTGCCCTCCACGCCCGTCCCCGCGCAGGGACAGACAACCAGCTCGGGTTGGGGGGCAGGGCATGAGCAAGTGGGTGGGCCCGGTGCCTACCCGGGAGTAGAGGGGGTGCAGGAAGGGGTGAGGGAGGGCTGAATCACTTGGTATAAATAGGGAAAGACGACAGCCACGTCCCACCCTCGCTGCTTGCCAGCCACACAGTCCAACCAAATCCCCTACTCCATTTCTTAAAATTCCTTTTGCGGTGCTGAAGACGGACCCAGCGCCTGGCATACGCCAGACTAGTGCTCTACCACTGAGTCACATCCCCAACTCTTCAATTTCCCTCAAGCCAATCAGAGTCCCTTGGGTGAAGTTCATCCCAGGCCCTGGCCTGGGACAGGAGATGGAAGTGGGCCCTCCATCACTACTCTGAAAGATCCTGGCTCACTCCCTTAACACT